GGCCTATCAAATCGACAGTCCATGGGGTCGTCTGATTCAAATCATCAGTCAACAGTAACATCAGATCAAACCTCAGAAGGAACATCACGCCTACAGTCGATAGAAACCCCTTCTAAACAGTCGACAAAGCCGTCACAAAACAAGCTAATAGGATCCGACCATCTGTCGCTAACAACACCAAGTCATTCTTTGAGTGAAACAACAAATCAGCAATGGTCAGGAACAACATCAGATCAACAGTCGACTGAAATATTAAGTCAACATTCGACAGAAAGTTTACATCAACAGTTCACAGGAGTATCATATCAACAGCCGATTGCAACGTTAGGGCAGCAATTGAATGAAACACAAAATTATCCCTCCCTGGGAACATCGTATCTACATTCTAAAGACACATCGCATCAACAGTCAAAACAAACAGCAGGAACATCTCATGAACCGTCGGGGAGTACATCGACTCAAAAGTTGAGAGACATACAAAACCAGCCTTATTTGGAGGAATCAATAAATGGGCTTCCTGCTGAATCATCAAATCAAAATTTGACCGAAACGTCATATCAGCAATCCGATGGGACCACTCAGCAGTCAAAGAAAATATTAACTCAGCGTTCAGATGTAACATCAAATAAACATTTAAATGAAACAACCAACCAGCAGTCCAATATAATATCAAGCCAACAGTCCAATTGGACATCAAATCAGCATTTAAACGGAGTATCAAATCAACACTTGCGAGAAATATCAAAGCAGCAGTCCGAAGGAAATTCAACTCGGCAGTCAAATGTAACATCAAATCAGCAGTCAAACGAAGAATCAAATCAGCAGTCAAATGGAGCATTAAATCAGCTGTCAAATGAAACATCACATCAGCAGTCAAATGAAACATCAAATAAGCAGTCAAAACTAATATCAAATCAACAGCCATTAGAAGCATCTCATCAACAGTCAAATGAAACATCAAAATACCAGTCAGACGGGGTATCAAATCAGCGATTAAATAGATTATCATATCAACAACAGTCCAAAGGAATACCAAAACAGCTGTCCGAAAGAGTATCAAATCATCAGTCAAATGGAGAACCAAATCAGCAATCAAATGGAGCAATAAATCAGAATTCAAGTGCAACATCAAATCAGCAGTCAAATGGAGCATTAAATCAGAATTCAAGTGCAACATCAAATCAGCAGTCAAATGGAGCATTAAATCAGAATTTAAGTGCAACATCAAATCAGCAGTCAAATAGAAACATAAATCAGCAGTATAATGGGGCATTAAATCATAATTCAAGTGCAACATTAAATCAGCAGTCAAAAGTAGACTCAAATCAGCAGTCAAATGGAGCATTAAATCAGAATTCAAGTGCAACATTAAATCAGCAGTCAAAAGTAGACTCAAATCAGCAGTCAAATGGAGCATTAAATCAGAATTCAAGTGCAACATCAGATCAGCAGTCAAATGGAGACTCAAATCAGCAGTCAAATGGAGCATTAAATCAGAATTCAAGTGCAACATCAAATCAGCCGTCAAGTGGAGACTCAAATCAGCAGTCAAATGGAGCATTAAATCAGCGTTCAAGTGCAACATCAAATCAGCAGTCAAATGGAGACTCAAATCAGCATTCAAATGGAGCATTAAATCAGAATTCAGGTGCAACATCAAATCAGCAGTCAAATGGAGCAATAAATCAGAATTTAAGTGCAACATCAAATCAGCAGTCAAATGGAGCATTAAATCAGAATTCAAGTGCAACATCAAATCAGCAGTCAAATGGAGACTCAAATCAGCAGTTAAATGGAGCAATAAATCAGAATTCAAGTGCAACCTCAAATCAGCAGTTAAATGGAGACTCAAATCATCAGTCAAATAGAGCATTTAATCAGAATTCAAGTGCAACATCAGATCAGCAGACAAATGGAGACTCAAATCAGCAGTCAAATGGAGCATTAAATCAGAATTCAAGTGCAACCTCAAATCAGAAGTCACATGGAGCATTCAATAGGAATTCAAGTGCAACATTAAAACAGCAGTCATATGAAGACTCAAATCAGCAGTCAAATGGAGCAATAAATCAGCATTTAACTGAAACACCAAATCAACGTTCGTTGGGGACATCAAATAAACACACTGCTAGAACATTAGATCAACACTCATCCGGGATTTCAAATAAACAACCTAATGGAACATTAAATCAACATTTAAAAGGAACATCAAAAGAAACCTCAACGGTGACATCAAATCAACGGCCCGGAGAAATATTAGCTCACAAACTGACCGATGGCAAATATAAAGTATCATCAACAGTTGGAATTTTCGATAAATCCACATCTGTAGCAACATCAAATAGGACAACGTCTAAAAGTTATGTCACAGCTATCCCAAATGAAGACGAAATCTCCGCATTGTCCTTAACATCGCAAAGTTCGACAACGATGCCAACACCAAAGACAGTCTCTCGGGGTACTTCACAAGCCAGATCCGGGACACATGCACCAGTTAACAAATTAGATACTTCGGGTAATTCCTTCAGAAAAGACAAAGACTCCATGGTCCCAGGGTCAAATGTTACCATACAAGAACCATCTACATCAATGAATGCGTCTTTTGATCAAAACAAAACAGTTAATTCAGTCATGAAAGACAACTTTCGTATGATACCTGAATCAAATGTTACCATACAAGAAACATCTACATTGATAAATGCCTCATTTGACCAAAATATAACAGCATCAACGGCCACTGCAACATCGATTGCCTCAACTCTTGCCACAACTACAACATTGGATCCTTTTGCTTGTAAGTATCCAGTGTGTTTGTGTACCTGTCTGGAACTTCGTGTTGGCCAGCTTAGTTACCTTACTAGATGCATGCTTTCTTGTTAATTTTTCAGTGTTCATTGTTTTTATTGTTCATTTCAATAATATCTTCACCACAATTCAAGCATTCCCATACGAGTTCCAATGTTCTCCTAAATATGTTTCTTAGTGTCTTTACACATGTTCTGATCTGTTTTTGTTGCGACTCCAATTGGTATAGCTAGATTCTAGATATCGCATCTGAGTCTAAGAGGCACTACTATCCGCTTGAGAACGTGCTGCATACTCCTTTCGAACTACCTACCTATCTATCTACTTCTCTACTTTGTACTAGCTACCTCATCACATAAATGAGTAAAGTAAGCAAAGAAAAAGCACTTTTCTCTCGTCTTCAGGAGATTTGGGCATACAGGGTTAGACCTATATTTCATAGACCAATCAGCACTAGATGGGTGATGTGGTCATGGGGACATTATCACGCCCGCCGCCTTTACTTCCTCTGACTGTACCTGGTACACATTCTAGGCTAGGTCGACCTGACAGCCAAGGTTCTTTTCAAAAATGAGGCTGGCTCCACCAGGACACGAACCCACGACCTTCCGATCCGCAGGTGACGATCTAGCCGCTACACCACGGCAGCTCTGAATCTCATACATGCCCAGCACCAACTATCTAACTACATCAAGGTGACTCCTTCGTGCTAAAGAACTGCATGGCTGTTGGGTGAACAGTCGTTAACGATGGCAGGCAGGTCGTTGTAGGGGCGACGCCTGCTGGTGGATGTAATATCCTAAGTCCCTTCCCCAGCTAATAATGAGGGTACTGCTGGGGTGACCGTTTATTAACCATTATATAATGCTTCCAGTCAAAATGGACGCTAAGCACGGCCACCTTTTTTTTTTAAGCCGTGGCAAATGTTTTTTTTTTTTTTGCCAGACTGTGGCCGTTGCATTTTTGCTCCATTTGTAGACTGGAAGGATGTAGTTTCGTCGCCCAGCTTCTGAGTTAAGTGCATGGCGTGACACTGTGAGCTGCGTTTGTTTTTCGTTGGCACAGGAGCGGAGCAACTGTGGGGTGACCCGTTTGCTATGAAGCTGAAAAAGGATTAACAGATTACCAGATCTAACTACATACCTTCTCCTTCTTCTGCATTTTATCCCCCAAGGTCCCCAACCAATTCACGCCAAGTTGTTCTATCCTTCGTTCTCTTTATCTTTTAACTTTACTTTCTAGCTTCCATCTCCAAGTGTCTTCTTGTCTTCCTTCATTTACGTCGTCGCTCTGGACTCCTTTCGGCTTTCTCCGCACCGTGTCATAATTCTTCTCATCTCGGTTAGCTAGGTTTTACTTGTTTCTTTTTGACTTTTCTGTGGCTGGTTGGTTTTTTGTGGCTTTTGTTTTTGTGGGGTGAGGTAGACAACCCCAAGCCCAATACTATTCTTACGACATGCCTGGTAGAGTGCAGTGTTACTATTCTTTTTTTCTCGCGAGACCTCCGTAACATACGGGTGAATTGCATATGTCAGTATATCCTTTACAGGACGTTACAGAATAAACTCCAGCATTGGCTGTTGTGGTTTTTCTAGGCAAATTTACGTCCAGTAGTTTGCCATTGCTCCTGGACGGTGGGCTTCTCGATGCGACTGTGTGGATTTTTATCACCGTATGGAACGACGCAGGTCGACCGAGCCTAAAATTGGTACCAAGATAGTGTCCTATGGAAGAAAAAGACGGCCGGCGTAATGCTGACCACATTACCAATCTTGTGCCAATGGTCTGTAAAAATAAGGGTGCTTTTCCCATATTCCCGATACGACTAAAAAGGGATCTTGACTTTACTTAGTCATAATTATGTATCTGTCTGTCTGTCTGTCTGTCTGTCTGTCTGTCTGTCTGTCTGTCTGTCTGTCTGTCTGTCTGTCTGTCTGTCTGTCTGTCTGTCTGTCTGTCTGTCTGTCTGTCTGTCTGTCTGTCTGTCTGTCTGTCTGTCTGTCTGTCTGTCTGTCTGTCTGTCTGGATCTAACTAGCTCTCTGTAAGTTTGCTTGTTTGTCTATTTAGCTATCTATTTGATATATACTCTTTTCATCTGTCAGGCTGTCTGATGACTTACCGTCTTTCTATGTGTCCGCCCGCGTGCCTGTCTGTCTAAACCAAACTAAATTTTCCTGTGACCTTGAACCTCCAGCTTTCCAAGGAGTTGGAAACCCGGACGGCGGTAGTAGCAGCCTCTCACTCTCGGATCTCAACTCAGGGCTGAAGAAAGACGGGCTCAACACCGGTGTGTTCCTAGACTATTCTCTAATGCTGCAGAACTTGCCGCCTCCTGAGATCATCCCCAAGGCAATGGCTACCAAAGTAGCTGCTAAACCGCCTCCGTTCACTACAGTGGCGCCGATCCTGACGCCTGAGCCTCCAGAGAGTAAGTATTTAGTTACGTACTGTTACAGTTATTTCTTAGACACGATTTGACCCGCGCTCGGAAAGCCGTGGGTTCTTTTCACAGCTGCGTCGTTCGGTTCACTAGGACAATTTTTTTAAACAGATATCTTTGGGAATCATCGTTGGAGCTACAGAGTTCGTACTTGTGTGACGCTTTATCAGCAGGCGGCTAGTTGTTCTGCTGAGAACGACCCAGCCACATGAGAGAAAATCCAGTCCAATGAAGTCGATCCTCTCACCCGTAATCTCGAACTTTTAATCTCGGACTTTTTACGGTATTTGTTTTTTGTTCATACATAAGGTCTAATTTCCCACGCCTTTAGGCGTATTGTGAATATAGGGCTAAACCTATATATTTATAGACCAATCGGCACTTCTGGGTGATGTGGTCAGCATCACGCCAGCCGCCTTTACTTCCTAGGACTGAACCTGGTACTCACTCAAGGCTGGGTCGACCTGGGCAAAGGTCATTTGAAAAAAAAAAAGTCCGGCTACCTCAGGACGCGAACTCACGACTTTCCTATCCGCAGGCAGGCTCTAGCCGCCAACACCACGGCGACTACCCTTTTGTTCACATATTGCTCTTGCATAACATGCATTTCTTTTTATGCCGTGCATTATGTATAGTTCCTGGACGCAGTCTCGTGCTTGAAGGTACGGACAGCCGGATGATTGAAACCACGGCCTTCTCTATTTATAGGCCAACTGGGTCAACGGGGATTCCCGTTCTTGTGCAAGAATGGAGTCCCTCTGTGTTGACCGTTTTTTTTATCGAGGAGATGTATACACAAATTAAACTACAGTTTCATTAATTTTCGACATATTTTATAGAACTATACGTCATTTTTTAAGGTAAATATGTGTGCTATTTAAGATATAACAGTAAAGGCTCTTACAGACAAACAAAAATGCTTTTGCTACAGTCAACATGAACATAAACATCAATAACGTGTAGAAATAAACTGGAAGCTATTCCAGCAAAAGTAAAGAAATATCAGTGCTAACTCTTTTATTCTGAGAGGGTATTGTTGCATCAGAGGAGCCAGGTGGGGGGGGGGAGGAGAGAGGGGGGGGGGGGGTTGACATTTGTACTTTATCAAATTAAGCACATAAAAATACTTCTGTAAAACATACACAAGACAGAAGTCCAGAATTAGATGAACAACCAGAAGTTTACAGCCGGACCTGATTGAAACCCACTGTGGTAATGAATTACACTGGACAACAATTATTCTCATGACATTTACTGTCAACTATGTCTCAGGCATCCTAAACACAGACATCAGTATTCTACGGCACGTAAAGTTAGCGTGGTCCATGGAACCATTCGTCATGACGGAGAAGATGTGCATAGTACGTGTCCTGTATTCTATGGTGCATGTCTACATGGGCAAAGTTCCGAATCCTCAATCCCTGATTTCTTGTCCATAATGGCTGCAGAGTCTGTTGTGTATGCACTCTAAACATAACCGTCTGTTTCTTTCGTGTGAGAAGTTCACTAGATCTTCCGGATTGTATCATGGATGAGAAGGGTTCCAGCTGGTTATAATGTCAGCCTTGATCTCATTTTTGTATACCTAAAACCCCCTACCTACTTTAACTGGTACCCAATTCAAGGTTCAGTCAAGGTCCTACGACTGCATGCAGCCTATCTACCACCACCTGAAACATTGGACTGCCTGTTTTGGGGTGAAAACAAACAAAAGCACCAAATGTGGCTCCTGTTTCTCTCTCTCTCTCTCTCTCTCTCTCTATATATATATATATATATATATATATATATATATATATATATATATATATATATATATATATATATATATATATACATATATATATATGCAAATTTGCTAAAGGTAGAAACTATAAATATATATTGGACAGTTGGTAAGGTATTTAAACACCACATGTATATGTGTCATACTTAAATGTCAGTTTTTGTATTGATGAGTTGTTTCAATAAGACATAAAATTGTGGTCTGTGTATGTATTACCAGCGACAACAGCGTTTTCATGGAGCAAGTATGTGGCGCCAGATCTGGACACAGCATCAAAATGTAACCTTTTACCTGTGTAAAAGAAATGTACTGTTAGCGTAGAAGAAATCTCATTGTTTCTAGTAATTCAAACCAGCAAATGTTAACGTTTCCACTAATTTAAACTAGCAAAAGTGAACGTTTCCACTAGTTCAAACTAGCAAAATTGAACGATTCCACCAATTCAAACTAGCAAAAGTGAACTGTTCCACTAATTCAAACTAGCAAAAATTAACGGTTCCACAAATTCAAACTATCAGAGTTTAATGTTTCACAGTGTGAACACCAGTTATCGCGAAAACGCAGTATAATACGAAAACAGTAAAAGTATCAGTTTAAAAAAAAATCAATATCTTTGAAAGTGCAATAGACTCCATAAACTATGTACTATGATCCCAATAGTAACGCAAAATGATTTAATAAAGAACATATGAGGGACAAAATTACGTAATAGTCGTCAGTAATTAAGTCAAAGAAACTCGGTCTCTCGCCAGCTCTCCAACCTCATGTACTTTCATGCTCAAGGAGTCACTTATATTCTGTCCCTATCTTTGTGTTGGTCGGCCCCTGCTCCCCCCTCCTGGTACCATGCCTTCTGCTATTATTTTTTCTAATCCGTCGTGGCGCCAGATATGACCAAAATATTTCAGCTTCCGAGACAGGAGGATGTTTATTAGCCAATCATCCTCGATGTTAAGATATTTCAAGATGTCAGTATGTCTTCTCTTCTTTGTCCAAGATATTCTGTAAATCTTTCTATAGCATTTCAACTCAAAAGCCCCTATTCTCTCTCTTAAGGTTCATGTGCGGCTGAAATCACACATAATGTCCATACGGCCTTAAATGAAAAGTTCAGAACACTGTACTCCTGGTAAAACTGCAAACAAGCACCCGAATTTAATGCATAACGATGCTGTCAACGGTGCTAGCACTAACAGTTCCATCACTGCAGTTTGTCCACCATGGAAGTAGCAGTCATAACAAACTAGCCATCGCACATGCATCACTAAAAAGGCACTGCTTATTTTATTACAACCGATCATTCGCCATTTTATGATGTGCAGTTAGTTCCCAACACAGAGCATCTTGGCCGAACGCAGTGCCACACAACTCTGTAGCTCGCCAAGGAAACTATATAATTTGCGGTAAAACTAAAGTTAGTCTCCCCATTTACACAGCGTTACAGACTAGCTCACTTCTGATTGGTGGACATTGGAGTTAAAAATCTACCCAAAGAATTTAAGGAACCTCGCCGGTGCTACAGAGCCTGTGTCCTGTACTGAGGGCTGTGTGGGCTGCTACCCTTGTGCCATGATGTTGATCCGTTGTTTAAAACCCTAAAACCTAAATCCGCTAGCAGCCGAAAACTTACCTGGTGAGGATTGTGAAACGCGCTTACTAGCATACAAGACACATCGGAAAGAAAAGCTACTTAAAACAGAAATGAGGCCGATGCATGGGAATGCATGTTAACATTGATGGGCACTAAGAGGAGCTAAGACAATTAGTCCATATTTTTGTGTGTTCATTCTGTTGCTGTTACATGAATTCGCAATGCAATGGGTGTCACTTTTAACACGTCAGGCACGTTTGAACTGCTAGAAACAATGAGATTTGTTACCCCTATATGCGATGGCCTAGCTTGTTCCTGCGTATTTCGACCGCATAGCACCAAATGTAATGGCTGCTTGGCTGCGATATCCCTGCAAGCTTGCGCTGGCTTTACCTAGCTACTGTCACTGCATGCGGACGCCCTGCTTTGCTGCACGTATCCCCAAGCAAATTTTTTTTGGGGTGGGGGGGGGGGGGGGGGACGAGGGAGAGAGGGGGTCATATTTTTGGCTGCACTGTGCTTTTCGCTGACACTATTGTCCTGCATTGCGTCGCTGTGGAATTATAAGAAAATGAGCTGCATGCTAACACTAATAAGCACTAGGAGTCCATGTTTTTCTTGTTCCTTCTGTTACTGTTGCATTAATCCGGCATTGCAAAGGATGTCGTTTTTATCTCTCTCTCTCTCTCTCTCTCTATATATATATATATATATATATATATATATATATATATATATATATATATATATATATATATATATATATAACTAGAAAGAAGACAAATAGCTAAACAGAAATAGATGACCAAAGAAATTTTAAAGTTAATGTCTGACAGAAAGCAGTATATGAATGACAAGGAAGAATATGACAAGATAAAAAAAGAAATAAGGTATAAGTGTATGAAGGCAAAAGAAGATTGGCTAAATGAACAATGCAATAAAGTGGGACATATTCCTGTTGAAGATGCAAAAAGTGTGCATACACAAATTAACGATCTATCTGAAAGAAAGATACTAGGAAACACAATGTCTGAAATCAAAAACAGGAGAGATCCTAATGCAGGAAGATGATATAATAAATAGATGGAATAAATACTTAAGAGAGTTATATGATGGAAAGAGAGCAGAATTACCACAAGAAAGAAATTTAGAAGGTCAGTCTATACTAAAGGAAGAAGTTAGCGATGCTTTTAAACATAAGAAGAAAGGAAAGTCATCTGGGCCAGATAAATTTTCAGTGGAAGAATTAGAAGTACTGGGGAAATTCGGGGTAGAAACATAAACTAAACTATTGAATAACATTTATAACACTGGGTACATTCCAAGTGATATGATGAAATCTGTATTTATTGCGTTACCCAAACAGATCAGGAGCAGATGAGTGTGAAGAATTTCGTACAATCAACTTAATAAATCATGTCACCAAATTACTATTTAGAATTATAATGAGAACAACAAAAAGAAAAAATGAAAAAGAATGGAAATGAGTGAAGAGCAGTTTAGATTTATGGAAGGTAAAGGGACAAGTAATGCAAAATACATATTACGAACACTGATAGAAAGATCAATGGGCATACAAAAGGATTTATATTTGTACATGATAGATTGTACCAAAGCATTTGAGAAATGCAAACATGAAGAGATGATAAAAATGTTGGAAGACATCAATGTAGGCGGGAAAGATCTCAGAATAATTAAAAACATTTACTGGAACCAAATGGCAGTAATTAAAGTGGGAAACAGATTGGGTACTTTTGAACAGATAAAGCAAGAAGTAAGACAAGGATATGTCTTATCCCCAGACCTTTTCTCTCTATAAAGTGAAATAATTTTGAGGGAAATTAAAGAGAATGCAGGAGGTAGAGTTGGAGGATACAATATAAACCATTTGCGGTATGCAGACGATACAGTTTTGATAGCTGAAAATACAACTGATTTACAACTGCTGGATATCGTGGGCGGGGGGGGGGGGGGGAGAATGCTAAGAAAGAGCTTTCATTGAATATTAGGAAAACGGAATTGATGGTTATATCAAAGAAGAAGATAATTCCACGTTGTGATATCTTAATTGAAAGTAAGACAACCAAGTCAATAAATTTAAAAATCTGGGAACAATCACATTATCAGATGGAAAATGTGTGACAGAGATTAAAAGCAGAATAGGTCAAGCGAAAGCTGTATTTCAGGAAAAAAAAATCTTATGCAATAAATTGCTCTCATTTAATGTCAGAAAAAGTGTGCTCAAATGTTGCATAGAACCTGTTCTTTTGTATGGCAGCGAATCTTGGAATTAAGAAGAATTTAGAAGCAACAGAGATGTGGTTTCTGAGACAAATGTTAGGAATACCTTGGACGGCCAGAGTAACTAACAACGGTTGCTTGAAGGAGGCTAATGAAAGTAGATCTCTATATACAACAACACGAAAGAGACAGAAACTGTTCTTTTCAAAGATCAATGAAAAGAGGGGTAGAAGCAGACCGAGAGAGATGATGCTGGATGGATTAAAACGATGGCATGGAGTAATAGCATCAAAAGAGCTGTTCCAGGCAACCAGGGATCGTGATCTGTGGATACGCATGAGCACCCACACCGGTTGACAGGGTACATGATATATATATATATATATATATATATATATATATATATATATATATATATATATATATATATATAAGAAGACAGACAACACAGAAAACTAAGGACGTACAAATATTCCAGGCTGTTATTCTCTTTACGCATCGTGTATGAATCTCTCTGTTTTTTATATGTTTTTATCGTGTTTTTATTTTATTTAGCGTCCCCTTTCTATCTCTGCATGATACTTTGCTGAAATGCATGTCAATCATTAGCTACGAGTGTATTTCTAGGGTATTATGCTATTCCCAACAATTGACATGTTGTAGACAGACACCCTGTCCGCACTACCCTGCATGCTCAGCCTATAATATCCACCTCAAACGCCATATTATACGTCTCCTAACTTGAGATTTTTGGTTTTGATAACATAAGGCATATTGTTTTTGGTTTGTCTGTTGATATTGTTATTATTGTTGCTATCCTTGTTATCATGTTTGTTAGTACGAGATACTTACTTACTGTTTATCCTGTAACGACACTTCTGTCAGAGCCTCTACTGTTTAAGGGTGTAATGGATATTTTCTGACAGATCTTTCAGTACGGATATGTGATTGTCTCTTTTCTTGTTTGCTTTGTAACCATGTCCACTGGTGCTGCATGCTGGTAAAGGCGTTCTAACCACTTTTTGTGTGTGTGTGCATTTTGTGATTGTGATAGCCTGAAGCTTGTTAGTTTCCCTTTTCGTTTAGACAGATTTTTTCAAAGACACCTTACTTTCTTTATATTAGTCACCTAACACATTTTTGTTTGTCTAATAAATTATCTGTTGGTGTCGGATAAATTGCGTCTAACTCGCACTGTATCTATAGCACAGGGCATATCGACAGCTCGGCGTGCGTAAGGCTAAAGTCATATGGCAATGCAGTGCGTAGGCTACAATCATATAACGCCGCAGAGCGTAAAGCAGTCGTTTTCCCCCGCGGCAGCAGCCATAAAGCAGGAAAAAAAAAAACAGCGAAATGCATAGAACCGATGCTTGGAGCGAGCGGCAGCACTGCATCTTCATGTTGTCTGCATCAAGCGCAGACAAACAGCGGAGCGACAAGCAGCGAGTATACTAAATGTTGTTTTTGTCAGTTTGACACCAATGATGACTAACAAGTGAGAGGTATCTTTATGTGGTACTTTTATTTTTGTTCACCCTGTCTGATGATTTCAAGATTTCATGAGAAGTTCCAGGAAAAGTTCAATATTATGCGGGAGAGTATGGTTAGGGTTAGTTTTAGTTGATTTTCATTTAAGACCCTCACACCTCTATATTTGTTGACTTTCCCGTCAACTTCCCACGAAATCCGGGAGTTTCCGAGATAGGGTAAATTAAAACAAAAGGACCGTTTCATTATCTAAGTTGAGTTTCCACTTCTTCTTTTATCTTTATGGTCTAAATGAAACACACATATTATTTCAACAAACGAGTACAGGGTTGCTGCGGTTTTTTTTTTTTTTTTTTTCTTTATTTTTAATGGGAAAAAAAATCCTAACTCCGTTTCGATTCGAACACACGACCTTCTGATTCCCAGTGGAGCGTCTAGCCGCTACACCGCTGTGGCTCACTGATATATTCGTATAAATGCTAATGATTCTTGAAGAAACAGTGTATAATCACACATCCTGTCCAGCCTTATGCACGAGGGCTAAAATTAAAATAATCACCCGAGAAATTCATAGCGACCGCACCTGCCGTGCGACTTTCGGTCCTCGGATCAAGACATCTTGCCCTACGCTGACTTAAAATGTAGTAAAATAAGGTTCCTCTGGACAGGTTTTTTTTAACCCCCACACAGTTGGGTCTAGTAGCAACTGTGAAAATTTCATATCACACATTTTTTGGTCATATTAAAAGCTATAGTGGTAAATTCGCCGACGACCAGCTAATTATAGCAGAAAGTACGGAAAGCCTACAGAACCACTTAATAGAAAGTACGGAAAGCCTACAGAACCACCTAAATTAAATTAATAACAAAGTGGATAACAAAGGGGAGGAAAATAATATGAGAAGAAACACTACGAAGACGGAGATAATTGTTTTAAGAAGACAGACAGGCAATTCAGAAATACGTTTAAAAATCCACGCCTAATGGCAAGCAGAGGAATTCAAGTATTTGGGAACCATTTTCACATCCGAGGAAAAACTGGACAGAGAAATTAGCTCGAGATGTGCCACAGCTAATCAAGTAGTGAGGCAACTATCTCCCCTGTTGACACACAGCAGATAACCCCGGAGTACTAAAGTGAATCTTATCAGAACTATTTCTTGACTAACAGTATGCTATCTATGCCAAATGTAAACAATTACATCCTCTAATAAAGGTAAAATTATGACAACAGAGATGAAATGCCTTAGAAGAGCTGCAGGAGTTTCAAGGAAAGACAGAATACGAAATCACGAAATCAGACCAATGCTTGGAAAAAAGCCAGTTTTGATATTGACTATACCACCCATAGTCGACTGATTAAAAATAAATCTGGTTCTGTAACCATACACTTGATGCGCCAATAGTCGCTGTAGAGTCCTCTATTTTTCGAGTAGCAAAACAAACACAAACTTAAAATTCAACATTCGGTAAACTTAAGAAATGTATTTGAGGTGAGACTAATTATATTAATTCACTTTTCTACAGCTTTGTGGTACAGTCTTTATAAATTTCAAAAATAGTATCATTTCTGTTCCCACTTCTAAACTGATTGTTATTTTCCACACTGCATCTGAACTGATTGCTTCTTTACTATAAAATCAAATCTCCAACACTAAAAGACATCGATCATTTAAGTAATGAATAAGTTCAGTGTCCACAAATCCATTTATTATTTCTTAATGTACATTGAGTGTATTTAAGTTTTATATTTACAACTCTGCTGATTTTTTAAATAGTGGTGGAGGGGTGTTTTTATATTTTTTGTTGTTGCTAGTTACTTGTTACTGTTTATGTTTCATACAGTGCCGAATTTATTTTTATTGATTTGTCACTTATAATAAGATATTTATTATGTTTATAGATAAAATATCCCCCAACCCAGTAATTTACAGTTAGCGCATTTCATTTTTTGACCTTTGACATTTACTGAAAACATTGTAAATTGCGGCGTAAAAGTCGACTTTTCAAGTCTTGAAATTTATTTCCACAACTAGGAGTCGACCTATATGGTGGGTATATATATATATATATATATATAATATATTTGTTAGATATAGGACTGACCCAAAATTGTCAGTTAAAGTCATGCAAATATGCACGTTGTACCCATCAGGACATCGCACAAGCGATAAACACCCGGTGACACAAAGTGCCATCATGCAGATGAGGATCACCCGTAGAGAGGTCCCAAAAACCCTGTTCAGCCGTTAGGCCATGTTTAAGGCCCTGCTATATTTAGGACCCCATGCAAAAGCTAAGGTAGGCCTTCAAAAAAAAAAATTGCATCCCACATGGGGATGACAGTGTCAATATATGACGAATCTTGGTTAGTTAAAATAATGACTGACTGACTTTCTACCCCACTAGGACATCACACAAGCAATAAACACCCGAGGACACAAAGTGCCACCATGTGGATGAGGATCACCGTGGAGATGTCCCAGAAACCGCGTTCAGACAATTGGCCATATTTATGGCCTGCCTATATTGCGGCCCCTGGCAAAAGCCAGAGTGGGGCTTCAAATTACAAAAAGTTACGTCCTGAAAAGGACGTAAGGAGATACGGAACAAGACATTAAAATAATCAGATCGATATTTAACTAATGTCGACTTGCACGCCACAATTTACGGTACTTTTAATTACCGTTGCTCAGAGTGTTGTTTCATTAATTATAATAAAATCCAAATTTTTATTAACATCAGTTTAAGTCATCATTCACCAACCTTCCATGAATATATATATATATATATATATCTCAACCGCTGAAAAAACAGTTCTATAATATGTAATAATTAATCTAGTAATTATTTCTTCTTGATTAGTTGAAATTATCGCCCCTGATGTGGTGGCCGAGATCGGAATGAGCCCAACAAGTAACCTCAAAGTTGTCTGTACAGCTCAAAAGGCTTGGGGTTGGACTTACATTGCTATTTCTCGCTATGAGGGTGACAGTGAATACTCTTTGGAGTTCTTGGGTAAGTCGAAGGTGATTGTGGTGTTATTCTGTTTTTGTGCGAACACCAGTGTTCAAGTTGTTATATTCTACTTATTCTGCTGCCGGTGGGTGCGCGTTCAGTACTGCAAGCAATCTAAAATAAGAAGCAACTACAAAAAAAAAAAAAAAAAAAAACAGTCGTTTCATATGGCTCTGAAACTTGGAGCACGACTGAAAGAGACGAAGCCTTTTTGCATGTTTTCGACAATAGAGTCTTACAACGAATCTTTGGACCCATCAAAGATGCAAACAGCGGCGAATGGAGAGTGAAAAGCAACAACGAAATTCATAATCTGTTTATATCACGACTGAATTACTGGCATCATGAGAGCTAAAAGACATGTCGGAGCAGACTACTTGGCAAACATTGGAAGTCACAGAACAGCCAGATACAGGTCACACTTCTAAGAGGGAAAAACGACAACTCCGATCAAAGCAACAGTTAGAATCCACCGGAAGATGTCCCATCCTGGACAGAATCCCAGTCAACCTCCGACGACGAAAGAAACATACCATTATATTTAGATTGCGTGCCGGGTACAACAGACTCAACAGACATAAGTAAAAAAAAAAAGTAAAGGACTCTTTTCCACGCCATTATGCGTATAGGGCATATAGGGCTAGACCTATATTTTATAGACCAACAGCACAAGATGGGTTATGTGGTCAGCATCACACCGGCCGCCTCTACTTTCCGGGACTGCACCCGGTACCCACTCAAGGCTGGGACGACCTGGGAGCCAAAGTAATTTTTGAAGAAAAGTCCGGCTCCGCCAGGGAGCGAACCCACGACCTTCCGATCCGCGGCGCGCGTCTAGCCGCTCTGCCACGGCGACTCCCTCAACAGACATGTGTACAGGAAATTCAGGTCTGGGGGTTCAGAACTGTGTGCACGTGGAGAGGCACCGTAGAAAACTGAATATGTTCTACATGCAGTAGAGGGATCCCAGGTTTGGTCAACTTGCACTCCAGTTGAAGCCAAGATGCGCGGAACAGTGGAAGACATGCTTCACGCCACAAACTTCAAAGAGGCCTGTGTGATCTTCCCATCTGAAAACCGCTAGCAGCGAGAACGAAAAGAGAAAAGAAGAGCGTACTGTGTTTTTTTTTTCTTTTTCAGATGCCAGCTGTCCTCACAATAAATGTGGCTTCCATTTAAACTAACATTGCAATGATTCAACCTCGCTACTATGTTGATGATACTGAAGCTCAAGGAGAGGAAAAGGGAGACACCAAATAATATTTCCCGTTGAAATGGTGCCTCTTTCTTTATTGAAATCTCATCTCGATAGATGCAACACTGCATCATGTATCGAGACGACGGCACCTTAGCGAGCAATTTTTAATCAGAACTAGGGCGTTTTTTCACGACCGGCTCCAGCTCACGGGCCATGCTGCTGACGTCATCATGCCAGGCTAACGATGCGTTAACGCAACAATTCTCAGACAAGAAATAAACTATTTTTGACAGTGGCGAGGAAAGACGACTTAACTTTTTTTAAGTTTCTACATGCCTTCTTTAATAATTTCACAATGTTTAGCCTACTTTTCTTGATTATTGCCACAGTACCCCTGGCATATGCTCACGGCACCCCGGGGTGCCTTAGCACCCAGTTTGAGAACCGCTGCGTTGACACATCGTGAGCCCCACCCAGTGATGTATTGAGTACGGCCTATCAGCTGCAGCCTGTCGTGGTAGTGTGTAACATCAAGCCAAGCACTATAGTGCATCCCAGAAGTCCTGCTGAACTTTAAAATTAAGTGATTCAGTAACCGCTTGGTGTAAGCTGTTGAAATTTGGCATGAAGCGGTTTAATAAAATATGGTCTTTATAAGTATTTTTAAAATTCTATGTGAAATTTTTTTTATCAACTGAAATAATTTGAATATTACAAATGTATTAATAATGTCCTTAGGTGGGGTTGATAAGTCGGACGAGTGGCCATTTATCCCCATCGACTCCAGGATGTCAGATTTCACCTTGCACCGTGATGCCGACCAGGTGACATTTGCCTTGGAGACCAAGTACGCTCTTTGTGAGGACAAAGGTCGTTACCTCTGTGAGGTCAAAGTGAACCGAACGTTCTTCAGCAAGACTTTCAATGTGGACGTGAAAAGTAAGTTTTTAGTTCAGTCTAGAAGGATCATTGCAGCTACACCTACAGAAACATAATAATTACTCCTACTGCTTCGGCTACAACAACAATAACAACAAAAACAGCAACAACAACAAAAATAATAAAAACAACAACAAAACAACAACAGCAACAGCAACAATAAATACTACTGCTACTACTACTACTACTGCCACTACAACCACTACTACTGCTGCTGCTGCTACTACTACTACTACTGCTGCTGCTACTACTACTACTACAACAACAACTACTACTACTGCTGCTGCTGCTGCTGCTGCTGCTGCTACTACTACTACTGCTGCTGCTGCTACTACTACTACTACAACAACTACTACTATACTATTACTATTCATCAGGTAGCAGGTTTTGTGCAGAACGTTGCTTCCATCACGGTCTGCCTGAAAGAAATTTGGTCTCCCGCCTCTTGCACTTTTATATTCAAAAGACCTATATCCTGTGCCCATTTGAGTGTTGGTCGGCTCCTGCTCCTCCTTCTTGTTACCATGCAATCTGTTATTATGTTTAATCCCTATCCGCCATGGCGCTTGATATGACCAAAATATTTCAGCTTCGAGACAAGATGCTGTTTTCTCTGCTACTGCGGCTGCTAATACTGTTGCAACTATTGATACTACGTTTATTATTTCTATTAAAACTACCAGTATTACTGAACAGATTTGTGTTATTATTACTTTGACTAGAACAATTTTGATTACTACTGTTGCTATTTCTGCTTCTACTACTACTACAGCTGCTGCTTCTATCTATAAATACTGCTACAACTAATAATATTACTGCTGCTGTTGCTGCTGAAACTACTACTATTACTGCTGCTGTTGCTGCTGAAACTACTACTATTACTGCTGCTGTTGCTGCTGCATCTAATACTATAACTGCTGCAGTTGCTGCTGCATCTACTACTACCACCATTGCTACTACTGCTGCTGCTGTCGCTGCTGATGTTGCTGTTGGTGCTGTCGCTGCTAATGTTGCTGATATTACTGTTGCTGCTGATGTTGCTGTCGCTGCTGATGTTGCTGATGCCACTGTTGCTACTGTCGCTGCTGATGTTGCTCATGTTGCTGTTACTACTGTCGCTGCTGTTGCTGCTGATGTTGCTGTTGCTGCTGATGTTACTGTTGCTGCTGTCGCTGCTGTCGCTGCTGATGTTGCTCATGTTGCTGTTGCTACAGTCGCTGCTGTTGCTGATGATATTATTGTTGTTGCTGTTGCTGTTGTCGCTGCTGATGCTGCTGTCGCTGCTGATGCTGCTGTTGCTGCTGCTACTACTATAGCACTTCTGTTGGCTTTGACATGTTTAGGGTAGATAAACGTATTGATAATATTAGGGAAGTTAAAACAAATAATCTCCCTTTCATCAACTAAAGCCTCAATTCATGTTTGTCTCTCAGGTTACTAGTTCAGACTTCTTTTCTTTCTTTCTTCTTCTTTCTTTTTGTTTTTAAATGTTCTTCTCCCAAGTTATTACTTACCAATTATGTTTATGTGTGCCCTCTTCATTTATTACTGGACACTTCTATTTATGCTTGCTTCTCAAAATGGCTGGTATTTACAACTTCCGTCTATGTTGTCCATCAAGTTTGGTATTTAGCGTTTCTATTCCTGTTGTCCCGCAAGAAAGTGCATCCTGCTTCTGTTTATGTGTTTCTGAAATCTGCTAGTGCATATTATTACCATTTATAATGTCTCAGTTTATTAACTTGCCAATTATATTATGTTGTCTCTCATTTTAGTTCCTAACACTTCTATATATGTTCTTTTATCTTAATTCCCACCACTTATATTTATGTTGTCTCCCAAGTTAGTAAAACTACATCTGTTTAGGTTCTCCACTCAGTTAGTAATTATAAAAGTAATGTTGTTGTCTCTCGTCCTTTTTAGGTTGAAATTTTTCGTTATTAGAAGCCCTACTCTAGCTCATGCCAGGGGCCGCAATGTAGCCTGGCCATAAATGTAGCCTAAAGGCTGAACGCGGTTTCTGGGACCTTTCCACGGGTGATCCTCACCCACTTGGTGGCACATTGTGTCATCGGGTGTTTATCGCTTGTGTGATGTCCTGGTGGGGTAGAAGGTCAGGCAATCAATTATAAAAATTATTATTACATGTTAACAGAAAGACCAGAGAAGCCGGACCTCAAGTTTCCTGAAGATGTGATTGAAGGACAGACCATCTGGCTGGTCACCACATGGGACGCCGGCAACCCAGTTATTGGCTACATCGTTCACGACATTGTTAATGGTTTCACAGGTGGGTGGATGATCTCAGGTCGTTTTCTTAGCTTCATGTATTTCTATGTTACAAGTAAAGTAAAGTTAAGTAAAGTAAAGTAAAGTAAAGATCCCTTGTTACGTCTTTAAGCGCATCGGGTATTAGGGAAGAGCAACCATATTTTTTTCAGACCATCGGCACTAGGTGGGTAATGCGATCAGCATTAAGCCGGCCCTCTTTAATATCCCAGAACAGCCATCCTAGTACCCATGTTAGACTGGGTCGACCTGCGACGCCCCATACCACGATATAAATTCACGCAGCCAGCAGTGGGTTTCAATCGCGGTACGTTGGAATTACGAATATGTTTAAAATGCGTTTAAAGGGGAAGGAATATATTTTTTTTCTTTCCCGGCACCAGGATTGCTACGTGCTGGATTAACATCTCCCGGATGAGAATCATTCGCAAAGTAATGTTTACATTATTTTTTTTTTAAATCGTATACTATGGTCTTGTTGTAAAATTTAAAATACGTATATTATAGTCTTTTTCTCAGAATTAAAACAAACGCATTTTATATTCTTCTTTTCAAAATTAAAACACTCATATTATAATCTTCTTCTTGGAATTTAACACTAAAGTTTCTGTTTTTCTAAACTAAAACAATTTTCGTCAAAATTAAAACAAATTTATACTTATAATTTTCTTTTCAGAATTAAAGCACTTCTTCTAGAAAATAAAACAAACGTATATTATAGTCTTTTTCTGAAAATTAAAGCAAACGTATATTATAGTATTCTTCTAAAAATTGAAACAAACGCATATTATAGTTATCCTCTCAAAATTAACACTTATTTTAGTCTTCTCCTCCTCCTATTATAAGAAAAATGAGAATAGACTCACTTGCTCCCCAGCAAGCTTGTCGTAGCAGCCTACTAATTTAGGACATCCTTTAAAGTCGGAGTGCATCTGCCTGAGCAGCAAGGAGCAGCCAAATGGAGACAAACAAACACGCACAGCTGATGTACACGCAAAACTCCAACCTGGCACAAAGCTAAAATTGAAATTAATGAACAGCTAGGACTTTCCGCCAGTGCTTACAGTCAAAGAACAATCAAGAAGAAGGAGTATTCTTTTGAAAATTGAAACACGAATATTATAGGTAGGTAGGCAGGTAAGTTGTACCCCACCAGAATATCACACAAGCCATAAATATCCGGTGACACACAGTGCCACCATGCCGATGAGGTTCACAAGTGCACAGGTCTCGAAAACACCGTTAAACCGTTAGACTATATTTAAGGTCCAGTTATATTTAGGGCCCCCGGCAAAAGCCAGGGTTGAGCTTCAAAATAACTAAAAATTGCACCCCCAAGGGAACGAAACATTATGTATATTATAGTCTTCTTCTGAACATTAAAACACTTCTATTTTAGTTTTCTTCTGAAAATCAAAACACGTATATAATAGCCTTTTTCTGAAATTAAAACACGTATATTAGTCTTTTTTTCTGAAAATAAAAACACTTATATTATAGTCTTCTTCTGAACATTAAAACACATAAATTATTGTCTTTTACTGAAAATGTAAACACATATATTATTGTCTTCTACTAAAAATGTAAACACATATATAATTGACTTCTACTGAAAATGTAAACACATATATTATTGTCTTCTACTGAAAATGTAAACACATATATTATTGTGTGCTCCTGAAAATTTCAACACACATATTATTGTCTTCTTCTGAAAATTAAAACACTTATATTACATTCTTCTTCTGAAAATTAAAACACATATATCATAGTCTGCTTCTGAAAATCAAAAGACTTATATTACATTCTTCTTCTGAAAATTTAAACACTGATATTATAGTCTGCTTCTGAAAATTAAAAAAAAACAAAAACAAATATTCAAGCCTTTTTCTCAAAATTAAAACACTTATAGTTTTGTCCTGATAAATTAAAACAAACGTATATTGCTGTCTTTTTCTTACAATTGAAACAAACGTATTTTATAGTCTTTTTCCCAAAATTGAAACACTTCTATTATAGTCTTCTTCTGAAAATAAAAACAAACGCTAAAGCATAGCCTTCTTCACAAAATTATAACAAATGTGCATTAAATTTTTTTTTTTTTAACTTTTTAGTATTCGCCGGCTTTAAAATTGTAGTTAGCCTCAAATGCTGGGCTTTGGTCTTATTCTAGATATTTAATTCTGCGTGCACGTCCCGTTTTTATGTATTTAGCCTGTTAGTATGCAGACTGTTATTTTCCCTCCTATCAGACAGCTACGCTCAAACTTCCCCAGAAACCCCCAAATTAGTCGCACTTTACGACATGCTTGTTAGGGGGCAGAGGCGCTATTCTGTTCCCCCCCCCCCCCCCCCCCCCCAAAAAAAATGGAGCCTAATTCCCACCCGGAGAATATTATATTCGACAACGCTGACTATACTATTAGGAGAACTGCACTGACTGTACTTTTATGAAATCAACGCTGACTACTTTAATGAAAACAGAGTTGACTGTACTTCTATTAAAACAGCACTGAGTGTATTTTTATGAAAACAGCACTGACTGTACTTTTATTTTTTTTTTAAACTGACTGTTTTTTTTTTAATGAAAACTACAGTGAGGGTACTTTGATGAAAACAACACTGACTTTATCTTCTTCTTCTTCTTCGCGTTCACCAGCTGTAAACTCTGGCGTAAAGTTCTGGTTGTTCATCCACTTCTGAACTGCAGTCCTGCTCCAGAACCTGAGTGTTGCGTGTGCATCAGTTTTACAATTGAATGTAGACTGCTGGTTCCTTGCCTCTCAGGCAGATGCACTCCGACTTCAGAGGAAGCTCCCCAGTTAGTCGACTCTTACGACATGCTTTTGGGGAGGCAATGGGTCTATTCTTGTTTTCCCCACAATAGAGCCCAGGAACCCACAAGGGGGACTGACTTTATGAAAACAACACTCACTGTACTTTTATGAAAACATAACTGACTGTACTTTTATGATAACAGCACTCACTGTACTTTGATAAAAACAACGCTGACTGTACTTTTATGAAAACAGCACTGAGTGTACTTTGATGTAAACATAACTGACTGTACTTTTATGTAAACAGCACTCACTGTACTTTTATGTAAACAGCACTAACTGTACTTTTATAAAAACAAAACTTTTTTTAACACAAAACTACATTGAGTGTACTTTGATGAAAACAACACTGACTGTACTTTTATGACAACGACATTGACTGTTTTCTTTAATGAAAACCCCATTGACTGTACTTTGATGAAAACACCAGTGACTGTACTTTCATGAAAACAACACTGGCTGTTCTTTTATGAAAACCACATAGACTGTAGTTTGTTGGAAACAAAACTGACTTCTTTCATGAAAACCCCGCAAAACCTTTATATTTGTTAGGTTTGCCATACGCTGCTACCTCTGAAAGTACCAAAGCTTGGTATAAGGACTGCGCTGTCATGATGGAAAATAAGTAAGTGGTGCATTTATTATGTTATCCTTTTCCTCTTTCTCCTCCTTTTCCACCTTTTCCTTTTCCTCCTTCTCACCATCATCATCATCTCCATTATCGTTATAAGTGTCTTGCCGACTAATGGATATTAACATTTCTACTTAACATCCTGCGATCAGTAACAAAGTATATCCTTTCTTGTGCTGTAATCTCTCCAGATGGTCGAGAATCTTTCCCTATTCTCTTTCTCCATCTCTCGTTCCTTTTTAAAAAAAATGCGGGTGTAGTAAAATGTCCTTTTCCACGCTCTTACGAAGAAACAAGATGGTATCTTTTATTATGATTTGAAAACTGTTGGAATGGATATCATTCTGTAGCCTGCATAAGTTTTTTTAAATTTTTTTTATTTGTGTGTTTTGTTTTGCTGTTTAGCCTCTGCATATGCACATTATGTCTCATTCTGAAGGTCAGATTATCTCGTGTTATCGTAAACAGCGAAACAATCTGGCATTGGTTCTGTGACGACCTGTAAATGATAGGCAACTACATTTATTATCGGGTATAACTCGTCATCAGTTCGAACCTTGTCTGTCACACAGTATGACATTTGACGGTCGGACTTCGAACCTTATCTGTCATACAGTATGACATTTGACTGTCGGACTTCGAACCTTGTCTGTCATACAGTATGACAATTGACGGTTCATACTTCGAACCTTTTCTGTCATACAGTATGACATTTGACGGTCGGACTTCGAACCTTGTCTATCAAACAGTATGCCATTTGACGGTCGGACTTCGAACCTTGTCTATCATACAGTATGCCATTTGACGGTCGGACTTCGAACCTTGTCTGTCACACTTTATGACATTTGACGGTCGGACTTCGAACCTTGTCTATCATACAGTATGACATCTGACGGTCGGACTTCGAACCTTGTCTGTCATACAGTATGACATCTGACGGTCGGACTTCGAACCTTGTCTGTCATACAGTATGCCATTTGGTGGTCGGACTTCGAACCTTGTCTGTCATACAGTATGCCATTTGGTGGTCGGACTTCGAACCTTGTCTGTCATACAGTATGCCATTTGGTGGTCGGACTTCGAACCTTGTCTGTCATACAGTATGACATCTGACGGTCGGACTTCGAACCTTGTCTGTCATACAGTATGCCATTTGGTGGTCGGACTTCGAACCTTGTCTGTCATACAGTATGACATCTGACGGTCGGACTTCGAACCTTGTCTGTCATACAGTATGCCATTTGGTGGTCGGACTTCGAACCTTGTCTGTCATACAGTATGACATCTGACGGTCGGACTTCGAACCTTGTCTGTCATACAGTATGCCATTTGGTGGTCGGACTTCGAACCTTGTCTGTCATACAGTATGCCATTTGGTGGTCGGACTTCGAACCTTGTCTGTCATACAGTATGCCATTTGGTGGTCGGACTTCGAACCTTGTCTGTCATACAGTATGACATCTGACGGTCGGACTTCGAACCTTGTCTGTCATACAGTATGCCATTTGGGTGGTCGGACTTCGAACCTTGTCTGTCATACAGTATGCCATTTGGTGGTCGGACTTCGAACCTTGTCTGTCATACAGTATGACATCTGACGGTCGGACTTCGAACCTTGTCTGTCATACAGTATGCCATTTGGTGGTCGGACTTCGAACCTTGTCTGTCATACAGTATGACATCTGACGGTCGGACTTCGAACCTTGTCTGTCATACAGTATGCCATTTGGTGGTCGGACTTCGAACCTTGTCTGTCATACAGTATGCCATTTGGTGGTCGGACTTCGAACCTTGTCTGTCATACAGTATGCCATTTGGTGGTCGGACTTCGAACCTTGTCTGTCATACAGTATGCCATTTGGTGGTCGGACTTCGAACCTTGTCTATCATACAGTATGACATCTGACGGTCGGACTTCGAACCTTGTCTGTCATACAGTATGCCATTTGGTGGTCGGACATCTTAAACTTAATGTTATGCTGTAGGACACTTGACTGAGGAACATTTTAGCTTAATCAGCAATTTTTTTTTTTTTTTTTAACTTTAGGTTGACACGCGTGTGACAATACGCGCGGTGACTTCAGAATGACTTTCCTCAACCTACTTTTATTTGTATGTATTTTGAAGTATACAGACAAATAGGGATTTGGATACATCCTTAATCAAAGTAAGACGACCACATCACACCTTTAATTCTCCTGGACCGTTGGTCATATCAAACACTAAAACTTTTTCCCAGATGTTAAGTGTTAAGGTACAGAGATAAGACTGACCAAGCAGACTTACTGACTGGAGATTTGCACACCATTTGTTGGTGCCAGATAGTTATTCCCCCTGCCAGACCTTCAGGAACAGATAACAAGGGCTAATTGCCATTATCTCCCCCTGAGGTTACCTACACTGGAGTGCCGGTCCGACGGTCACTATTGACACAGTGAGCGGAAAGTGTTGGCAGAAGAATTGACTAAGTCGGATTTTATTGTGATTACAGGTCAAGTAGACTGGAGGTGTGACTAGGCCTATTAGCTGGGACCAGCTTAATTGAACCTGTAGAATGTGAGCGTGGGAATGCAAACAATTGTTGTACAGTCACTGACTGACAGTGAATATACACCCACAAGGGAGGAGCTGTGATATCCCGTAATGAGAATGATTTAGGCGTAATGTAGGAGGAGCTTGATAAAAGTTATAAAGGGGTGAACTATAGGTCTGGTAAATGAGATCCTGTCGAGCACATGCCATCTGTTGGGCTTAACCTAAGCTTGAGACAGAACTTTTGGCATCGTGTTTCATTTTTCCAGGTAAGATCGACATTAGGTTCATATCTATATTTTATGATAGAGATCTGTCTTTTTGCTCAAGTGTGTGTCTTCATCACTTTGTAGTACTCCTAGGCGACATTTCTTCATTCTCGTAGGGCACTGTCACATTGCTTTATTTTACCTATTGATAGTGTCATGAATTTTTTCGGGCACATGTGTTTCAATGTTGTAAAACCTAAATGTTGTTGTAGCCATTGAAATTTAATGAACTATCATGTTTTTGAAATCACAAGCGTGAAGATAACTTTGACAATCTTTTTCACGTGTGTTATGGTGAAATCTGTATTACATACAGCTTACACACTGAATGTGTTTAACTCTCGGGAGGCTAATGCGGAGATTGATCCCGGAGAGTAAATCCACGAGATTTGTTATTTGATTCGCCTCAGAAATGTTGTTAGCTTTCTGGGCGCGTCGATTGTTCCAATTCATAGATTCCAAGAACTGGTTCTGTCTGACTGATTGTCATTTTGACAGATCGGTACGAGAGATGGCACCTGACGTAGGAAGACTTGACTATCATTACATGACGTGTACGAGGAAGGCAGAAGATGTTAACAGTTGGAAATGTGAGACATAAGCCCTTCCAATTGGACAGGAGTGAATGTGAGCATGAGGGAGGAGGATGAAATGTTTTATTTAAATAAAACATGCTTGATGTTAGTATAATATACATGCTTAGTGTACATCTAGTAGCAGATACTACAAATATGCGCTTGTTTCTTCATTCTCTCAGTTCCCACATTGGGCAGGGACTAGTAGGCATCCATTATTTTGCTGACCGTCGAGTGTAACGACCTGCAGAAAGCAGTGAGGACGACAAACTGGAAAAGATAGGCAGGGTCTCAAGCCGGAGACTGTCCTGACGGTGAATTCTCCTACTAGGAGTTAAGTATATGTACAAACTGTCATCAATCCACTCCCTCAACTCTACTAGCCTAAACACCGTCATTTTATTTAGTCAGATTTTTAAAATAAATCTTTGCGATGTTTTAAACATAGTTGAGTAAATTGTGTACTTAGGTTCAAGTGTCTTTGTGCATATTAGTTTTACTTCAGCTAACAAATATTGTAAATACTGATGGGGGCTTTTAAGTAATGCCAATGAGAGGAGAGCAGAGTCGGATGGGTTAATCTGACTCACCTGGATTATATCACAGTGGTTGTATCCAGAAATTCTATCTATCCCTTCTTCCTCTCCTGTGGATACAAGTACGCAGCAACTTTCATTGTCATGGAACGAGCCACTCGCCGATGTTTTCTTGGCTATCCAGGACTTGTCTAGGTATCAACATTAGCTTAGATAATAGTCCCAGTTTCTCACGTGGGTGGGCATTGTTAAGGATCAAACCCACACCCTCACTATATCAGTGTATTTACCCACGTGGGCGCGCGACAACGCGGTTTGAACCAAACTTTCTCTTGTGGTAGGATATTCGCTTGCATGCTTCACTCATGTTCCAAATGAGTATTTTATGGCTTTATCATTCTTACATTAGTGGTAGTAGTTTGACGAGAGCAAGGGAATTTCTGGACAAGTTGTTTCTATCATCTACAAGACCCGCTGCCGGCTCAATTTAGGCCTATATAAGCCATAACCAGTAGCGCACGACAAGGACGTGTGGCAGGAGTCTTGCATAACGATCAACAAAACCAGCACAGAGCCTTCTGGCGCACGGCGTGAGGTACGGAGTATCTCCCTGTTCACACCACAACAGCGTTAACTTTATTGATGTTAGTGACTGGAATCACCGTGCTATCTACACATGCAATGCATATACAAATGGATATTTGGCAGGGAAACACTGTGTCACACAAGCTGCTTTAGAGCAGTTCGATGACCAAGAACCAGAAGTGTACAAAACAAACGTAAACTCAGCTATGTTTTTTTTTTTAAGCTCAAGAACGAAAACATAACTTTGAATAACTATGTTCAAAATAGTCACTAGAATGCGAGAGTACGAAGAAAGTTAACGTAGTCAAGAAATAGAGTCATAAGGCACTAGAGAACGAACGAACTTTATTTTCAAAGGGTTACAAATTAGGCACGCAGGCCTGTCTTACATTCGGCCCTTCCAAACTTCCATCTTTCACACAGCAGTTGTATTTCATCAATGAAGCATGGAGGGAAAGAGAGAGAGAGAGAGAGAGAGAGAGAGAGAGAGAGAGAGAGAGAGAGAAAAGAGAGAGAGAGAGAGAGAGAGAGAGAAAGACGAGATAGAAAGAGTGAGATGGTGGGGGGGGGGTGGGGGTGTTTGGACAGTGGCTCACACCATCAGTAACATACGTTGGCTTGAGACCCAGCTGTACTCACATGATTTCAACTGACTCACACAGAGCATGTAAATAAAAGCGGAGATTGGCAGAGTGGCAAGCATCACTTCAGACATCCATGGTGGTTGACGTCCTTTGTATATATTCTTCAGGGCATGTCGGTGTGTTGGGAAATGAACGGAAATATAAGTTGGCCGAATCTGCACCATTTGTTGGCAAATTGATGCATGATAAGTTACATGTTTGAAGGGCCCTTTTGGATCAAGTAAACAGTGTGGAGGCATAAATAGATCATTACGGTGTAAAGAGACTGGTGCCTCGAGAAGTGACTCGGTGATCTGGCCGACTCTTAAAAATCAGGAAAGGGACGAGACGGACATACAGTGAAACTGACTGTTACTAGTACCATCGGAATTTAAACTGCACTTGCTGCTGAAGATGGGAACGGAGCGTTAACGGCAATGTCTCGATTACTATGACGTCGGTTCTTAACTCGCAGCTCATAATATGGAATGCCATCTTTATCAGAAACGACTCACAGAGCACGTTACAGAAGGATATGGATAAAAATGGTTATCAAGACTTTCGGATTACCTGACAAGCAGGCATAGCTGAATATAAGTCATTTAATCAGTTGCCGTCTCCACAGTTGCCGTCTTTTGTCTTGGTTGGACACTCTCTTAGACTGCTGCCCGTTCAGCTCTTGATGTTGTCCTCCTCCCACTTGTATCGTTGCTCACCTCTTGCTCTCTTGCCTTCGACATTTCCCTCCAGTATGGTGTTTGAAAGCGTATTATGTTTTTATAATGTGGCTAAAGTATTTCAATTGTCTCTTTTCTTTTTTATTTCTTTCTGTAATTCTCTTCTCATTTGTAGTCCTTTCAGACCCTTTTCATTGGCCTGTTTTTATTTCCATGAAAATGACCAATTCTTCTGCGTACCCAATTTTCAAAGAAGGCTCGATTTATTAATCCATTATCTGCGTTTCTGACCACATAACAAGATTGATTTGATTTGATTTGATTCAAAAACCGACATCACAGCACTCGTGGCATTACCATAAGCGCTCCGTCTCCATCTTCAGCAGCCAGCGAAGAGTTCCGATACTAATGGTGCCAATAGCATTCTGATTAAACGTTTGTCTTGCCTTTCATTTGAGCCTCGAGCATCTGCCAGAACCTCTCGTCACTCCCCCCTGCATCAATCTCACCAGACTGTGGTGATCCATCTGCTCCTCCGAACTGTACACGCTCTCCCACAATGCACTAACCACGTCCCTATCATGTATCAGTATTCCACCAAGTTGTGCAGAGCCAGCCAGTCTGTCCGCCTGTTCATTTCCCAACACACCGGCGTGACCCTTTGACAAAATCCAGACCACACACCTCACTCGTGTCCTCCGCAGCGAAGCATGCCACTCTGCACGAAGCACATAACAAGATTGAGTATACATAACAAGATTGAGTTTACATAACAATTGATGATTCTCGTGTTTAGTGTGTTGTTGATCTCTCTAGCTGTCAGTAATCTTACTGAAGACAGTTTTAGCTAGGAAACAACAAATGGCTAAGAAATAACAATATGTTAAATTATGTGCACAGATATGCTGTCACTCCAGAGCTTTCCTGGAATGGAACAGAAATTGTCGCTCACATACTTCCAAAAGACAACGCTACAGTATACGAACGGAGCATCGCTGAAAGAGTCAAGATTGATCGCAAGATCATGACTGTATTACATAGTGAGTATTTTATCTATCCTTAACATGCATCTTTTATTTGAATGCATACTTTATTCACGCAAGTTGTCTCATTAAATGTCCATCCATATATTGTTAAAATAAGTTATGACAGAGACAAACGAACAAATGAACGACATTTTTTCTTCTCTCCAAACGATCACAAGTTAGGCACGTCTCACATTCAGAGTTCCACGCATACACTTTTCATACTTCAATCGTATCTTCTATATTATCAGCGAAGTCTAGATCATCAAGCTGATGATATTTCTCTTCTGTCCCATTCACGGAATCAGATGCAAAATAAACTAACTATACTTGATGCGAGATTACAACAGCTTGGTCTGAAAACCCATAAAAGAAAGACAAAGATAACGAGAATAAATCAGGCAAAAGTAATGTCGTTTCTCTTAATGGTACCCCACTCTACGACGTGGAATCGTACACCTATTTGGGCAGTAATGTAGGTAAAGATGGAGGAACTGATAGAGATATTAACATGAGAATACAAAAGGCAAAAGGAGCTTTCATAGCACTAGGGAATTTGTGGAGGTCAAAAGAAATTAGAAGAAATATTAAACTAAAAATGTTTAATTCTAATGTGAAATCGGTACTTTTGTATGGGGCGGAAATACAACTATGGAAATTACTAATAAATTAAAGACATTCAATTACTGGTGCTTGCGCAGAATATACGGAATTAAATGGTATGATAGAATAACAAATGTAGAGCTTTAGGAGAGAACTAAACAGCGTCCAGTGGACCAAGCGGTGAGGAAAAGACGCTGGCGTTGGATAGGCCACACACTGAGAAAACAGGAAAACACCACAACCAGAATGTTTTTGCATTGGAACCCACAGGGGCAAAGAAATAGAAGGCCAAAAAAAAAAAAAAAACACACACACATAGAGAAGACAGCTGGAGAATGAAGTTAAGAGAGGACACGGGGAGAGCTCCATGTAATGAAGAAGGATAGAAAGACTTGGCGTGAGTTGGTTGAGGGCCTAAGCTCCATCAGGGAATAGAAAAGCAGAAGAACAATAGTATCTTATATGTAAACCATCTTATGTTGACATAACAAAATATATGTACGATGAATATAAAGTGGAATACACAAAAGCATTCATGGTAAACATATTTGATTAAAACATATATAATACCATACACGTATGTACATATACATTCATTCTTACAACCCTACATACAACCATGCATGCAACCATAACCTAACAACAACAAAAAAATACATACATACATACATACACACACACACACACGTGCGCTCGCGCGCACACACACACACACACGCACGCACGCACGCACGCACGCATCCATCCATACAGACAGACAGACAGACAGACAGACAGACAGACAGACAGACAGACAGACAGACAGACAGACAGACAGACAGACAGACAGACAGACAGACAGACAGACAGACAGACAGACAGACAGACAGACAGACAGACAGACAGACAGACAGACAGACAGACAGACAGACAGACAGACAGACAGACAGACAGACAGACAGACAGACAGACAGACAGACAGACAGACAGACAGACATACATACACGAGCGATTATGGGGGGGGGGGGGTGTTAACAAGGCAATGGGTGGAGGGTAATACTGAAAATGTATGTACATATAGTTGAGTGTTGTTTGCATATTGTGACAGTAAAATTACTCACACAGAGAAGTGGTCACTCATATCTAACCTTATCTGAGCACGTTATAAAAAGTTTGAAGTTGGAACAACAGATCAACATTACAGCACACGGGTAGTAACCTATAAATGCTCCGTTCTTCTTCTAACTCAAGTCTGAGTCCGAAGAAGCTCAGCACAATACACTGGCTCTGTAGCACCGGCGAAGATCCGGAAATACTTAGCGTAGATTTTTAACTCCAGATTTTGCCCGGGCAGCGCCGCTAGGCTACTTTTTTTTTTTTCAATTTCCAACTGCTAACTGATTTTTTACGTACACGGGCGTCTTATCTCACTACTCAGAGAACAGGAGACATTACTTGAAATTCAAGTCCACGTTTAAAACTCACAGCCCTTAACGGGGATTGAACCCGGAACCTCTAGCATTTGTGCGGACACCATGCCTCTAGACCACGAAACACCCCCTCCCCCTTTTTCACGTCATAACAAGAGAATAACTGGTGTACGCCATGCTAAAAAGAAAAAAAGAAAGAGAGAGAGAGAGAGAGAGAGAGAGAAAGAGAGACAGAGAGACGACGACGAGAGAAATGTTAGAGCAGTCTGACATGACGGTACGGCCCAACATTTATGTCCGAAATGATTGACAGTACACGAAACACAAACACAAGGGTGTGGGCGGACATGACGACGGACGGCTCAAAACATGCGCTATTAAAAATAGTGGCACCTAACCGAACAGAAAGAAAATGTGATGGTGTTGTTGATTGACAAGTCAATAGCTTTTATCACACATATCCCGTCTGCATAAACATGTCCGTGAGCTCCTGGTTATGCATTTTCCATGAGCCATTCTGAACATATTGTTGCCAATTGAAAATAAAATGTAATTATCTCTTTTCACGCTTTTAGACGCATCAGGCATACGGGTAGAGAGCTTATATTTTTTTACAGACCATCGGCACTAGGTGGGTAATGTGGTCAGCCTTACACCGGCCGTCTTTACTTCCTTAGGACAGCCATCCTGGTACCCATTTTAGGATGGGTCGACCCGCGACGCCCCATACCTCGATACAAATCCACGCAGCCAGCAGTGGGTTTCGATCTCGGTAGGTTGGAATTATGAGTCGGACTCGCAACCCCTAAGCCACGGACGCTGCTATGGTTGCCAGCAGTTAAATATACCAAATTAATGTCAGTCTGTCCATTTTCAAATTACAACATATCAACATCATATTGATCAACATATATGTACATGAGCTCCATCAAATCTGAGGCAAACATGAGCTTCATCGTTGTCATATAGCATGTCCTTTGCAGAACGTCGCTCACATCACGTTCTGCCTGAAAGAAGCTAGATCTCTCGCCAGCTTACCCGCCTCGTGCACTTTAAAAACCAAGAAATCACTTATATCATGTGCCCATTTTCCAGATGGTTGGCCCATCAACGCTTCTTCCTGGCACCATGATTGCTGTTTTTATTTTTTCCAGTCCCCCATGGCGCTTGATATGGCCACATTTTTTCAGCTTTTGAGACAAGATGCTGTGCACTAGCCAATCTTCCTTGATATGCAGATCTTTTTAGATCTTTTAGAGAGTCAGGTTTTTTTCCCCTATAGTATTTGGAGAACCTTTATATAGCGTTTCAGCTCAAAAACCCTACATTTTTTTTTCTTAAGGACTAGGAGATAATCCACAACTCACATCCATTTGTTGCTATAAGGAAGAAGCATGCTCTCAAAATTTTAAGTTTAATTTCCTTGCTGGGGCTTATCGATAGATTTGGGCACAAATAGACCATTACGGTCTAAGGATAATTGCGCTGCTAGGAATTATTATGAGATCTGGTCGACTCTCAACACTCAAAGGAAAGACGAGACGGACATAAAATCTGTTTATATTGCAAAACTGTTACTGGTGCCATCGGAATTTGAACTCTTCGCTCGCTGCTGAAGATGGGGACTGAGTGCTTATGAGAATGTCCTGAGTGCTATGATGACAGTTATTAATTCACCATACAAAATTTAACATTCATACACTTTTAAGTCTAAATGTATATGAACTTCATTAACAAATATATCAAATCCTATTGCCCATTGTAGTTAGTTTTTACTGAAACAAAACAAATAATTTGTTTTGAACAAGCTGTAGGTTCAGCATACTTTATTGTACCTGATCAGTGTATGTTTATATATAGCATATACGTACATACTTACATACGTACATACATACTTACACACAAATATAAGCCTATATATATGTATATACGTGTGTGGTGTGTGTGTGTGTGTGTGTGTGTGTGTGTGTGTGTGTGTGTGTGGTGTCTTTACTTCAGAGGTCCTGAGGAACTACTGTACGGACATTCTCTTTATCAAGTACAGGTGTGTAGGGAAAGAACCAGGGTGACAGGCCTGCTGGTTCTGCACCACTTTAGTGTTAAACTGATGCATAATAAGTTAAATGTGGTCAAGGACCGTTGGGGACTGGTCAACAGTGCAGAGACACAAACAGATGGAGAGACACAAACAATGGGGGAGACACAAACAGATGGGGAAAAACAAACAATGGGGAGACACAAACAATGGGGGAGACACAAACAATGGGGGAGACACAAACAATGGGGGAGACACAAACAATGGGGGAGACACAAACAATGGGGGAGACACAAACAATGGGGGAGACACAAACAGATGGGGAGACACAAACAATGGGGGAGACACAAACAATGGGGGAGACACAAACAATGGGGGAGACACAAACAATGGGGGAGACACAAACAATGGGGGAGACACAAACAATGGGGGAGACACAAACAATGGGGGAGATACAAACAATGGGGGAGACACAAACAATGGGGGAGACACAAACAATGGGAGAGACACAAACAATGGGGGAGACACAAACAATGGGGGAGACACAAACAATGGGGGAGACACAAACAATGGGGGAGACACAAACAATGGGGGAGACACAAACAATGGGGGAGACACAAACAGATCACCACAGTCTGGAGAGAGAATTGTGCAGCCAGGAAAGAAACCAGGACATCTGGCCGACGCCCTACACTCAGTGGCAAGGCAATAGGGACACACAATCAGAATCTGAACTTTGCGATGGCTACTGGAAATGATATTGTAAACAAACAGCCAATGTATTGATTGGCACTCATTGAAAGGAGTAGAAAGTAAGAAGAACACACTAGAAAATATAAAAATCGAAAGCTATAGTTACCGTGCCGGGAACTGAACCTTTCACCTCAAATGGTGTGTGCGCCTCGCTATGGAAACAAGTGTACTAAGAACATGACCAGCTAGGCATCTCCTTCCCTCAAAATGTGTCTTTTTCTCCATGACTGTAGTACAACTTGATATATTACCGGATATGAGCACGATGCCCTTATGTAAATTTCCCAAGTGCTATGATGTCAGATCTTGACTCATCTCAACGTACCAACTGACCATATCGGTTAGGTTTAAGTTAGTCTTTCCAAACAAAATAGGTCCGCTTCATTCACAAGTTTGTTGGTCTTGTCCACTTTCCTGCATGTTACAGGTGTGCCTCTCTGTAGTTTGCTTTCTGGATTGTCTTGTGTTAACGTTTCTATTCCGAGAAACAGAATCCTTGTGACATGGGCTACAGCACTCTCTAGGGGGATTGTGTTAGACCCAGTCTGACTTTGTTTCTGGAGTGTTAAAAGCGCTGGCGTTCTGAAATATACAACACGCGATATAAACGGTATTGCGGAACACCCCCGTAATCTTGTGCTAAGACTAGGTGGCTGAATGTCTACAAATAATAAGGGGCTAGTGAGTATTTGAGCGGTCCATGGGGAGATTAATCTTAGTTTCATCACTATTTCAGTGACTGAAAATGAATGAGTTCAAAAGTGTACATAACATAACATAACACTTGACCCGTTAAGGTCGTGGAGGTGTCTCGAGGGAAGTACTAGCACACAAAACCCGCCCTCTTTCTCTATATTCTGCTTGATGAATGAGTGTGTGATAATTCAGTCCTGCTTCTTCAATTCTTGATATTGTCATTCCGTGTTCTTCTTTGATGTAAAAGTATGCCTCATCTTGTTTTTCCCTCCTCAGAAAATATATGCGGCAACAAGACAAGTGTGAGGATCGCCCATCCTTACAGAAGCGACAAGTACATCACCTGTTACACCAGCGGACCCGCTGTGTCTAAATGTCCCAGCCACCACGTTTTTGATGAAGTCACAAAGATATGTGCTATGCCAGGGATTAGTTAG